ACCCAACAACATCAGAATACACATTCTTCTCAGCAGTACATGGGTCATTTTCTAAAATAGACCATATATTAGCTCACAGAACATATTTAAGCAAATGCAAAAGAGTTGAAATCATCCCTTGCATATTATCGGATCATAGCGCTCTGAAATTAGAAATTAATGACAAAGGATACTGCAAAAATTCCGCAAACACATGGAAACTAAATAACACACACTTGAGTAATCAGTGGGTCACAGAAGAAATTAAAGAAGAAATTAAACAATACCTAAAAGAAAATGAAAATGCAGATACAACTTACCGGAATCTGTGGGATGCAATGAAAGCCGTTCTGAGAGGAAAATTTATTGCACTGAGATCCCACATCAGGAAAACAGAACGAATACAAATGAATAACTTGATGCTACACCTCAAACAGCTAGAAAAAGAAGAGCAAGTCAAGCCCAAAGCCAAAAGAAGAGAGGAAATTATAAAAATCAGAGCAGAAATCAATGCAATAGAGACTAAGAAAACAATCCAAAGAATCAACGAATCACAGAGTTGGTTCTTTGAAAGAATAAATAAAATCGATAAGCCCCTAGTCAACCTTATTAAAAAAAGGAAAGAAAAAGCTCAAATTCATGCAATAAGAAATAAAAAAGGAGAAATCACTACAGACCCAATAGAAATACAGAAGATCATCAACACCTATTTCGAAAACCTCTACTCTCAAAAGTTTGATAACACAGAAGAAATAGACAGATTCTTAGAAGCATATGAAGTACCAAAGCTAGACCAAGAGGATATAAAACTGTTGAATAACCCAATCTCTGCTAATGAAATTGAGAATGTATTTGGGTCCTTGCCCACCAAGAAGAGCCCAGGCCCAGATGGATTCACTGCAGAATTCTACAAGAAATATAAAGAAGACCTAATGCCGACACTCCTCAAACTATTCAATGAAATTGAAAGGGAAGCAATCCTTCCTAAGTCATTCCTGGAAGCAAATATTACTCTAGTACCAAAACCTGAGAAAGACCCAACTATAAAAGAGAACTATAGACCGATCTCCCTAATGAACACAGATGCAAAAATCCTCAATAAAATATTGGCAAATAGGATCCAGCAAATCATCAAGAAGATTATACACCATGACCAAGTGGGATTCATCCCAGGAATGCAAGGATGGTTCAACATACGCAAATCAATAAATGTAATCCACCATATCAATAAAGCCAAAAATAAGAATCACATGATCATTTCTATAGATGCAGAAAAAGCCTCCGATAAGGTCCAACATTCATTCATGATAAGAACTTTACAGAAAATTGGAATAGATGGTCTTTACCTCAATATAATAAAGGCCACTTATGACAAACCAACAGCCAGCATCATACTAAATGGCCAAAAATTGAAAGCGTTTACTTTAAAATCGGGTACAAGACAAGGATGTCCTTTATCACCACTCCTATTTAATATAGTACTGGAAGTACTAGCCAGAGCAATTAGGCAAGAAAGAGAAATAAAAGGGGTAAAGATAGGAAAAGAAGAAGTTAAATTATCATTGTTTGCACATGACATGATACTCTACATAGAAGACCCCCTAAACTCCATTGAAATACTCTTAGATACAATAAATAAATTCAGTAATGTGGCTGGATACAAAATCAATACTCAGAAATCAATAGCATTCCTATACACGAACAACAAAATTACAGAGAGGGAAATAAGAGAAACTGGACTATTCACATTAGCAAGCAAAAAAATGAAATATTTAGGAATTACTCTTACGAAAGAAGTGAAAGACTTATACAGTGAAAATTATAATACACTGAAAAAGGAAATTGAAGATGATCTCAGAAAATGGAAAGACATCCCTTGCTCATGGATAGGAAGAACAAACATTGTGAAAATGGCCATTCTCCCAAAACTGTTATACAGATTCAATGCAATCCCAATAGAAATACCATCAACATACCTTATAGATCTAGAGAAATCACTCCTAAATTTCATCTGGAACCAGAAGAGACCTAGAATCGCAAAGGCAATTCTAAGCAGCAAAGACAAAGCAGGAGGCATCACAATCCCTGACTTGAAGTTATACTACAAAGCAACAGTAGTAAAATCAACATGGTATTGGAATCAAAACAGAGCTGAAGATCAGTGGAATAGATTAGAAGATACAACCACAACTACGAACACACTCAACCACCTTATTTTTGATAAAGGAGCCAAGCAGGTTCATTGGAAGAACGACAGTCTCTTTAATAAATGGTGCTGGAAAAACTGGCTCTCCATTTGCCGAAAACTAAAGCTAGACCCATATCTATCACCATGTACTAAATTAAAATGTAAATGGGTCAAAGATCTGAATATTAAAACAGAAACACTAAATCTATTGGAAGACAAAATAGGTAGAAACCTTGGAGACATAGGAGCAGGTAAAGAATTCATGAACAGGACTCAAACCGCACGGGAAATACTTCCCAGAATCAATACCTGGGACCACTTCTTATTAAAAAGTTTCTGCATGTCAAAAGAAATCTCCAGCATAGTGAAAAGAAAACCCACAAACTGCGAAAAGATTTTAGTGAACTCTCTCTCAGACAAGGGCCTCTTGTCTAAAACATATAAAGAATTAAAGAAACTCAGACCTCCGAAATTCAAAGATCCAATCCAAAAATGGGCATCTGAGATGAATATGCAATTCTCAGATGAAGAAATGCAAATGGCAAATAAATACATGAAAAAATGCTCATCATCATTGGTCATTAGAGAAATGAAAATTAAAACCACACTGAGATACCATCTCACTCCTGAAAGAATGGCCAGGATCAAGAAAACCGACAACAAATGCTGGAGAGGCTGTGGGGAAAAAGGAACTCTCCTGCACTGCTGGTGGGAGTGTAGACTGGTACAGCCTTTGTGGAGATCTGTCTGGAGATTTCTCAAAAAGTTGGGACTGGAAATCCCATTTATTCCAGCTATTCCACTTCTAGGCATATTCCCAGAAGAACTGAAAGCATCATACCACAGTGATATATGTGCACCTATGTTTATAGCAGCACAATTTGTAATCACCAGATCTTGGAAACAACCCAAGTGCCCATCAACTGAGGAATGGATAAAAAAGTTGTGGTATTTCTATACAATGGAGTATTATTCAGCTATAAAGAAGGATCACATTGAGATATTTATCAATAAATGGGCGCAGCTTGAGACCATACTCATTAGTGAAATAAATCAATCTCGCATGTGTGAATACCGAATAGTTTCCCTAATGTAAATAATGATTCAAATATATAAAAAATGTGGTAATCATGATTCCCCATTAGGTGGCCTTGAAGCCTTATAAAGTTTTCACTCATTAATTAGAAAGGCTTTATTCTGGGCTTCTTGATATGAAAATATTTGAAGCTAGAGTATATGAAGTTTTATCCAAATATTTCAAGGAAAAAGACACTATGGTAACTACTATTAAGTCAGGTTATAAGGTGGTGAAGTACTAGGTTGTTGAAACAGTCATGCTGTGACCTCTATTGTTATATTGTTATGTCCTGTTTTATCTCAATCTCCCCCTTATTGTTTCAAAAAATTATTTAGTCATTCTTATGTTTGTCTTAATTAAAGAAAAAATTCAAAAAAATTAGGATATATAAATAGTAACTCTTTTCGATTTCCTATTAACTTGTTTTGAAGTCCTATAGTACTCCCACGATCTTGTTTTGACTGATTAGACTCTGTTCCATTCTATATGATAGTATCAAGTTTGAAGACATAGGCAACTACTTTGAAGACAATAAGATTCACTAAGATACCCATTCTGGTTTGACTATTGTCTTCTTTGGAAGTCCTGTAATGTTTACAATGCCTAAGTTTTATTGGTCTTGTTCTCTACTGTTTTGTCCAACTTTATAATATCTAATAAGATAGACAATTCTTTTTAAGGAAACAAGGGACAACGTTGATAACCATTGTTGATAAACTTGTACTCTGTTCTACACCATGTGCTATGTCTATCCTTGGTATTGACTGACAGCTTTGTTTTGCCATATTTGACTGTATTCTTCCCCCCCCCCAAAGAAAGTAATAAGCACTAAGGAGTAATAAAATCCAAGATGTGTAAATTTTGTTGTAAAAAAGAGAGGGAAAAAAAAAAGAAAAAGAGCTCTAACGGATATAACAGCAAGTGTGTTTGGGGGTGTTAAATAGCTGACTTTATCAATGTTTTTGGAACATTGAACACAGCTGTTTGCAGTCTCCCTGTTTGAATGTCCACCTTGTGTTCTTTGATACTGTGATTTGAGGAACTATTTTCAAGAAGATAGTGTGTAATCTACTAGCAGGTGATTTCTTACTGTTAAAAAAAAATAAAAAATTAAAAAAAATAAAATATATACTTTAAATATATGCACCATGTATATTTTTACAATACATGATACAGTATTAAAACTATGATACAGTTTTAGTCATTTAAAAATTGTTTGGTGTTAGAATTAAGTATAGCTAAGGTCCAGATAGATCTTGAGAAATAAATAAACTAAGATGTACTATTAGCATTTAATATGGTACTCAGTACAAGCATACCTCAGATATATTAATGTGATAGTCACACTAAAATGTGTTATTTATTTAAATGTGAAATTTATTTATTTATTTAAATGTGAAATTAACATTTAAAACTCTCCTGTATTTTTGTTTGCTGAACCTGGCAACCCTTTCTCCACATATTTATATTACACACACTCATATTAAAAATTCCATATTAAAAATTATTTATACGAACTGGTTGTGCAGGCACATTCTTGAAGGCCTGAATTTTAGTCCACAACTCTTGGTGCCCGTCTGGGCCACCACAGATTTCCAGCAGGCTTACTGTGGAATTCAACTACCAATGCCAGTTAGAAGCTGGGCAGCGATTTTCTGTGCTTCTGGGTGACTACAGCTCCCAGCATCCCGCAGAGCAGAAAAAGGTCACGACTCCCAGCATCCCTGGACACTGTGGGTGGGAACTTCCGGGTCTCCATTCGCTGCATCTATCTCACTCTGGTTGTCCGTGCCTCTGCTGGCCTTATCTCCCAAAGGCCCGCGCGTGTGTTCCCGGCAACCGTAGGTAGGCTTGTGCATCTGTCAGCTGTGTCACTCACTGGCGACTCCCTGGTGAGGTCAAGTGGTGCCTGAGTAGCTACTGAGGTGACCCTGCTTGAGGTTCCCAGGCCTTTGACCTTTCTCGCCCGTGGTACCCCGGGGGTAGAGTGGTTGCCCTGGTCGACTGATGGCCTCGCCTTGAGCAGCGCGACCTTCCGTGTTCGCGGACGGCGTGAATGTAAGGAAGTCCAGGAACGCGCGTCTCGGTGTCGATTCCGGGTGGGTCAGTCGCAGCTCCTGTGTGGTGCGGAGCAGCCTCCGTAGCTGCTGCAGGGTTGGATGGGAACCGTGGCGGGGCTCCGCGCTCCACGCTGCTCTTTGGTGTCCCGACAGTTTGTAATGAGACTGTTTTCCCTGCCTGTGCAGGGCAAGGTTCGCTAACGCGTTCCCCATTTTGCTCTCACACAAAAATGTGTAACCTTGTCCTGTTAGCCTCTGCCAAAAGACTAATTTACAGGGCAAATTTAGTTGACACGTTAATCATTTTAATTTGATAAAATCTCAGACACTGTAAAGGAATGAAGTCTGTGTTGCACTCCGTGTAACTATTAAACTTCTTTTACATTCAGTTTAAAAATATATACATGGGCAGCCGGGCGTGGTGGCCTACACTTGTAATCCCAGATTGAAACTGGGAGAGGCAGGAAGGCTTCGAGTTCTGGCTCAGCCTGCACAGCTTAGAGGACCCGGTCTCAAACAACAAGCAAAACCCAAGACGCCTAGTGAGACTTGAAGCTCAGATAACAATGAGTTTATTGTTAGTATTACAGTTTCAGCTTTAGTGTGATAATTTTTAACATATTAGTTATTTGTGAAACAGCTGTATTGCAGAGTAGTGCTCCCAGATTTAGTGAGTAAAAATATAGGCAGTCTGGTTAAATTTAAATTCCAGAAAGACAACAAATGTTGTTACTACCAGTGTGCACCATATTTACTTTATTTAAAATACTTTAAATATATTTCACATAAATGTTCTTTAATTTTAAAAGTTTTGTTTTTGTTCTCTTGAAATAGGGCCTGACTATATTGCACTGGTTACCCTTGAACTTAACCACATTGCACAGGCTGGATCTGAGCTTGTGAGCCCCCTGCCTAGCCTCTAGCTGGGATTAAGGGTGTGTCCACCTGAATCCCTTTGTCTTGCAGCCCATATGTGGTGCCCAGGCTGTCTGGTATCCACAAAATACCCTTCCCTGTCCCAGTGCCTCAGACAAGTCACTGGATTTAAGGACCCAGTGCCAGCAGTGAAGCCCGCCTGCACTATCCTTAGCAGAGGCCAGGCCAGCTGCCTGGCCCCTCCACGTCCAATGACTTCCAGAAACTCCTGCACCTTCTAGGACCCCCACATTGGCCTGAAACACCCTACTCCCCACAAAGATGTCATCCCCACTGTGGGCCCAGACACCCAGGGGTCTCTGCGCCCCCAAGCCTCTCAAGCCTATCTCTCCCAACAAGTACTCCATGTCAGGGCCCTCCAACCCAGGATCCACCAGGTCCTGCTTCTGAGAAGACAATGTCTGAGACCTTCAGAGAAGAAACTGCTGAGACCTGTGAGGCTTAGAAGTCAGTCCATTTACAAAAAACACATATAAAAAGCTGAGTGGGGTGGGGCACACCTGTAATCCCACCACTCTGGGAGGCTGAGGCAGGAGTATTACAAGTTCAAATCCAGCCTGGGCCACTTAGGGACTTAATAGGGACCTGTCTCAAACCCATCACACTCTGGGGATACAGCTTAGTCTGAGAGTCCTGGGTTTGATTCTCAGTGACTCAAAAAAAGAAAAAAAAAAAAAAAAACAGAAAGATCCAGTAGGATGCCCTTGTACTTGCAGTCATGTCATGGCTTTCTCCCATGAAAATCCACAATTTAGAGATTCACAAGAGGTGAAGATGCAAACCACGTGGCTGGCCATCAGGGGGCTCTATCCAAATTTCATCCATGCCCTTGAACAAGTAGGGACAGCTGCTGTGTCCCACAGATGAGTGCTATGCCTGGGGTGCCTAGAGCTTTATCCATCCCCAAATGCTCATAAAACTGCAGCCTCTCGCCCTGAATGCAATTTCCCTCTTAAAGCCTCACCAGCTGCCCTTCTTGGCAGTGTTCCCTGATCTGAATTAAGTCATCTTTTCCATGCCCTCCCCTGCTGGTCAGTTCTGTCACCAGTCCTCTGTGCACCTTGCTCTGCCCTGGTAGTGCTCATGTGGAGCAGATGCTGGGGTTGTGGCACTAAACAGCTTCTGGGTAAGCTGCCAGCACCTTGTGGGCCTGGCTTAGGAGAAGCCACACCTTGTCTAGGTGAGCAGGGATGGAAGAGGGCAGACAGGACTGCAGGAGGACCAAGCCTCCTGACTCTGATGTCTTGTGTGCTCTGTGTTGCTCTCAGCTCCTAAGAACAGCAGCCTTTGGTGTGTGAACATCTCCCTTCTGTAGTGTTTAAGAAGCTTCCACACACATGTTGGGCGAGCAGCTCATCTACTGCCATTTCTCAGTCCCTGCCCAAAGAGCCCCAATTTCCACACATGTCATCCAAGCCACATACTCATGCCTCCTGGAGACCATCTGTTCCCTGGAGTCTTGAGATCTTTGGTCCCCACAGATCCAAGAACCCTCTACAGACAGAACTTAGGGAGCTGCAAGGTCCCAGGACGAGTCTGAAACTCCCACCTTCCCTCAGGTTTCATTCTCTGGGCAGCCCCACAGAGCAGGTGCCCTCACCTAGGGCAGTAACAGAAGTGTGGGGACTTGACATAGCAGGGTCCAGACAGCAGCCAGACAACCAGCCGCAGGATAAAATTCTTGGAGCCACCCTCTAGGCTTCGGAAAGCCATAGATCCTACTTAACTTGAAGTCAGCAGGCAAGATCTTAAAAGTGCAGGATGGAGACACTTCTACTCTGCCACATTCCCGGGTGCTCAAAGCTGGGGCTGCTGTTGGGCAGCTGCCAGCTCAGGCCTTTGAGCTTCCATAGTGAACCTGAGTGTGTCTAAGCAGTGTTCACAGCTTCATGCCTATGCTACATTGACCAGAACAGTCTCACAGAGAAGAGTTAGAAAAATGCAGTCTGTCTGGGTCCTATAATTGAGACAAATTAGTGAAGAGAAAAAAATAATTAGATCTCAGGGAATCGGGAAGGAGCTGACAGGAAAACACAGAAAAACTGGAGGAATGGAACATCGAGCAAGGCAGAAAATCTGGAAATTCTCCAGCCTCTGGGGAGGTGAGCACTGAGTGTCAGCAGTTCCGTGGAAACTCAGCAGCCTGGGCCAGCAGTGCCAGCCCCAAGAAAAGTTCACATCTTTTGTGAATTGTAAGCTGAAAAACAGCATGCAGTTTCACACTGAAAGTAACTCCTGCATGGCAGGCTAGAGTTGGAGAAGAGATCCAGTTGAGCACCTGCCATATTTGAGAGGGTTTTACCAGGAACCATTCGAGAAGGGGTGGTTTGAGCTGCAGCAGTTTTACTTCAGCGTTCTTGGTGGACCTCTACTGCAGGGACTGGGCGGGGAGATGAACACAAATGATAGTCACAGAGCATGGGCTGGACATAGATTCCCCAAGAAGTTCAAGCTCAGCTCAGAAAGGGCACATTGCCCCAGCCTGCATGGTGAGAAGCCAGGCTGTAGATCTGTGACTTTCAGACTTGGCTGAGTTTGAAACTGCTGGCTAAGTCTGGTGATCTACATTGACCCTTCATGCCTGGCTGCCTACAGCCAGCAGAAATCATGGGACTGGCTGCTTTTCTGTTTACCAGTGTGAGCAAGGATACATCTCCACGTCTAGAAGCCTGGGTGTATGTGGGCCTCTGGGGAGAGGCTGATGTCTCACAAATCCACAGACCAAAGAGCCAGGCAGAGAAAGTCTGCTCACAGAGGAGGAGAACACTGGGATCTGCCAACGTGGCTAAACTCCTGGGGCAGAAACCATTGATGACCAAACCCGGTGGGAATGGTCCTGCAGGGCTTAGTGTTGACACACAGAAATGTGAGTGTGGAAACAAGATAGGCCAAATAGGAAATGTAAGCCAAAATAGAAAATTAGAAGGATGACATGAATTTTTTTTAACTTTTAATTTTATTTTAAAGATGATAAAAGGAATATAAAACAATAAAACCAATCAAAACAAGACTTCAAAACATTATGAAATCCACAGTAGTTACCATAATGCCTTTTGTTGTCTCCAAAATAGCTGCAGATACCTTTGGACATAGTAAAAATCAAACACAACAATAGAATAGAAACAATAAAAACAAAACAATGCAATAAAGGACTTCAAAACAAGCCTGTGTTTCTCTGGATCAGCCAGGGTGGGGTGGGGGATTGGTACTTCTTGTTTGCCAGCCCATGCGCCAGCCTAGTGGCTGGGGTCTGGCTGCCTCCACTCCTGCATCATACCTCAGAGGCTACGACAATACCTTGAATATTACCTGATTCGGTACTAACTGAATGAACATGCAAGACCAACCATACTCCTGCCATATAATGGGAAACTACACAGCAATTAAGTTAGATAAAAAAGAGCTTCATATATCAAAGATAAATCTCACAATGATGAATACTGCGAGCCAAAAATAATCTGTGGATTAAACCTTAAGGTAACCCCTAGCATTTACATAAAAGCAGTTAAGGCTTTGCGTTGCTCCTGAGAACATAAGTTGTAAAATTTCAGGCGTGATGTCACAGGAGGGTGGCTGCCTGTGAGGGAAGGGATGCTGACTGCCATACTATTTATCATCCTACAACCCAGCTCGTAGTAAACTCCCCTGCCTTTACCTTTCACTCTTATCGTCTGGCTCTGAGGAAATGGAGGCAGTGGATCCCCTCACAGGGCACGGGTTATTGCGGGACATTTCACGGAAGAAGGCCACGTCTGGGAGAAACGATTTCCGCAGCTGCTGTTTTTTTTCCACCCAGAAGCCTCCGTGCCAGCAGGGCCGCAGCCCGTGATGCCTCCCCGCACAGAACACAGGATCCATCCAGCACACACAGATGTCTGAGGGGAGCCTGACAGAGGGAGCGGCACTTCCACACACCTGCAGCCAGCTTGTCCGCCCCTTCAGGGCCCCAGCTGAGGAGCTCCGCGTTGGGAGACCGCCTCCTCGTTCTGGAGACAACGGGCGCCACGGCAGTCCGGGAGACCTACTGGGACCTAAGTTTAAATTAATTATGTCCTCTGCCTGAGCAGCTTTTCCCACCTGTTCCATGGTCGTCTAAGCACCCTACCCTGGCGTCTTCCGAGCCCCCCCCCCCATCCTTCCTTCTCAGGCACAAGTAACAAGGGCGGGCGCTCCTCCTAGCCCTGTCCATTTTTCTGTATTTCTTCCCTGTCTCACGTTGCTATGGTTTGCTTCTAAAGGTCCATCCATAGCGGCGCCCCTAGATGGGACTTCGAGGCGGCGATTTGGTAACGTAGGTGGCAAGATCCTCCAGATGGATTAGTCCGCAGAGGCTGGGAAGCGGAGCCTGGTGGGCGGAAGTGGGGCGCTGGGGGCGTAGCCAAAAGGGTTTATCTGCTACTCGCCTGCCTGAATCTCAACGCTTCCGGCTGCTGCCCGTCCTGGCTTGGAGCCGGCTGAGTGTCAACCGAAATCTCTACAAACTGAAGCAAAACAAACGCCTCCTCTTTTATCTTGTGCGCGTCGGGTACTGTGTCTCGGGGATGAGGAAGCCACGTGTCCTGTCCGCCGTGTGCTGGGACCATAGTCTTGGACCTCTGATTATATGGTGAACAGTTCACAAACGCCCAGTAAAGAAGCTGAGCGCGTAGGAAGGTTGGGCTTCTCGAAGCGCATAACAGCGGAGACAGACCAGCAGCAGGCGCCGCTGGAAAGCTTCCACACAGATGGGCGATTCGTCTGCGCTCTCTGGGGCGCAGTCCCGCGGTCTCCGCGGTGGTCTGCACAGGAAAGGGCACCTTCAGAGTTCGGCTCCTCGCCCAGCAGGCGGCGCGATGACAACCATTCTCCCCCCCGGGACTGGAGGAAGCGATGTCTGCAGCGCCTGGTCCTGCTATAGCTCCTGCGGGGTCAGCATCCCTGTCTGTAGGTAAACTGAGGTTCTTTGCAGTGGTGTCCCGAAGCCTTTACAGTAGACCGCGGCGGCGGAGAGGAGCGCAGTCCCTGCTAGATCCACGAGCTACACAGGGCTCCACTCTGCACAGGTGGGACGCCGGCGGCCCGCCCACCCCCGAGGCGTGGGGCGGGACTTCCTGTGAAGGCCGGAAGCTGCCGAAGGACTACAGCTCCCAGCGGCGCTCGCAGCGCGTCCCGGCCCAGGGAACGGCCGCCATTGTCCGCCGTGGAGGTGAGGCTCTTAGGCGGATCGTCGGGCGTCGAGGTTGCGGGCGCAGAGCGGATGGCCTGTGGGGAGAAGTTCCCGCGGTGCCCTAGCTGCGCCGGCCGCGGTGCTCCCATCCCCCGCCCCGCTGCTCTGGGCCCGCGCCCCGCCGCCCCGCCCGGGTTTCTGCGCGACTGTCCGGCGCTGGTGCTGGCCTCGGTGCCCTCCGCGGTGCCCTCCCCGGCCTTGGTGTTAGGGCCAGGCGGCACAGGTGAGGCGGTGTTGGGGACCGACGGTACCGGGCCGGACTCTACTCTGGCAGCCTGGAGTTCACAGTGCGGTGTTCGCCGGTAGCGTTCATGCAGTGGTGTCCACCCCTGCAGCCGCTTTGCACTGCAGTGGTCTGGCTGTAGCTGTCTGCACGGTCTGAGTCCCGAACATTTTCGACAACCCCAAATCCCTGCTTCCGTGGAGCAGCCCCACCCCTCTTCCCTGACCGTAGCTCTGGACCACGATTGCATGAGCTGTGCAGGTAGTAGTTATAGGGTTTTTGTCAGGTCCATTGGTAACTTCGGTTTGAGTTGACTGATTCCCCATTGGGAGTGTACAGCCCACAGGTTTCAGCCGCATTCAGGATAGTGCCCTTTTTTGTTCATCTTATTGGAGTTATGCTTCATGTTTTTCACGAATTCTGTTATGTTTTTGAAATGTAAATTATGTTTTCTTACAAAGCTTCTTAGGAGTCTCTTGAATCCATGGAATTGTCTTCTTGGATATAAGAGAAGGGACCAGTTCTGTTGTTCCCACTTGATCTTTAGGTTGACAGTTGGCTGTGCTCCCGGGCAGGAGCTTGGTTGATCAGTCCTCAGGATGGCCGCCCTCAACCCCTGGAACTCATGGGGTAAGTCGGAATCTTATTTTTCTAGGGTTTCCCTGCGCAGGGGTGGAGGAGATGCTGAGGGCTTTGAGGGATGAGAGAGGGTATGTTTCTTTTAGTACACACTTGGAGGTGATTGGAAAGTAGAAATAGTGATGGTTAGTCGTTAAGACCTTGTAATTTTTCTGTGTTTTATGGTTAGCTCCTGAAAATGATTTCTGAAAAATGACATTAGCTCTAAGAGATTTTCCAGTGATAAGTAGCATTTCTTACAAAACAATCACATGTACAGTCAGTGAGTTATCTTTATTGTTGTATTTTTTCCCTTTACGATTGTCTTTCACTTACATAGTTTTGATCTGTAATTTAAGAAAAAGTTAAATGATAGTGGATATGAGTTGTGCTATATCTTTAAATGAAGTTTCATTCCTAAAGACATCAAGAATGTCATACTAATACATTTCAAAAAAATTAGATGCTGTTACATTTTACCAAACACCTTTTCATTGTCCTTTCACTCCGTGGTATCAGTACCTTTCTAAACACTGGTCCACCTGTGCATTTGCTGTTGAATTTTTCACGTACCCTTGACCTTTGTTTATGGAATTTTATCATATCTATTAGGAAGACCAGCTCCTTCAATCAGTAGGTTTGGTGTCACAGTCCTATCCTGATCCTTCTGTGCAGGTTCCCTTATGGACCAGTCCTGGGGGATGGCAGCAGTTGACCCATGGTCCTCCTGGGGTGAGTCAAGAATCTGTGTGTCTGTTATGGGTACTGCTGTGTTTTCCCTGCAGTGATCTGCCAAAGCTGGGGATTGGGTGGATTTTTAGGGCAGGGGTTTGGAGTTCAGGTCTGTTTGTGCAGAGTTGGAATAGGCAGTGGTCAGAAGACTCCCCTGGGATATGATAGGGATAGTGATACTATCTGCAGGATGAGATGAAGCGGAGTCTTGGGCACCAGAAGTCTGTGAGTGGATACTGCCTTCATGGGGCAGAGTGAGGAATTCACAGGGTAGTTATGCTCCTGACCTCTGTTCCTTCCGGTCAGGCCAGTTCCTTAACCACCCAGGACGAAGGGCTTGTGGGGTAGGGATTTTGCAGAAGTAGCTGCCTCCATGACTTCTTTTTGGTTTCTCAGCTTTCTGTCCTCAGGACCCTGTGTGGCATGAGGAGAGGAGAAGTGCAGCTGGTCTCCCCACAGCCCAGGTCCAGGTGAGATGGGGCTTTTACTCGTTTCCCAGGGGCTACTGTGTTTCACACTGATGGTTGTCCAGCTGTCACTAGCCATCCTGGTCGATGTGGTTTCTTGAGTTTGGCTAGGGAAGGAATCAACTGGAAGTTTATGCTTCTCGAGTGTGAGCAGAGATAATTCAGTCAGTTTTCCAAGACCTAGAGATTTGCTGTCAATCAGCCTGTCCTTAGTGCTGGCCACAAGGGGTTGAAGGATAGCCCTCGTGTCTGGCAGCCCCCTATTTCTGTCTCTTGCCTTTCATGGTCAGTATCTGTGTCAAGCTCCTGTTCAGTGGCAAACTTCTTGTGTGCTGTGAAGGGAATGAAAACGGACGTCAGCCTTTACCCTGGGGACTGCCCAGCCTGCTTCAGAGTCATTTATTCTGCTAATGGTGCCATGCAGCCGGCTGCACACGAGGCTGCACATGCTGTGTGGGAGATGTGGAAAGAAGCCCCAACCAATCCTTGCATCTGCTCAGACCCTGGGGTTGGGGCAGTCGATGGGCGGAGTCTGCACAGAGGTCAGTGAGGGCATAGCTGCTGGAATCCATTCACAGTGAATTGGGGGCTGAGAGATCTGGGAGACCTGAACTAAGAGATGAAATGGTTGTGCCAGCCAGATGGGCAAGCCTGGTGATGTTAGCAGGGGTCTGACCTCCTGCAGTGCTCTAGTGCTTTTGGAGGGCCAGGGTACATGGCAGGGCCAGTACCCAGGTGAAGATTGGCTCCTATAGAGTTTAGGCTGGAGATGCCTGGCTCTGCCCTGGTGGGAATAAGGATGCTGAGAAGTATTGGTGATGGAGGTGCCATGGTCTAGGATGTAGTTGTGAGGTGCTCCTAGTTGGGGTAAAGTGGAGAGGCTGTGGTAGTTGCTGACCTCTCAGGCTTCAGTTTGATTGGGCTGGGGCTGGGAAGAGATCATAGACATAAGGGAGTCGAGGTAGGTCTTTTGGTCTGGGGTAGGCACAATGATGGCTCCAGAGAGATAGGATAGGTGTCCTCCTTTTCCTCCTTCTGCACGACCTTCTTTCCAGAGATGGCCCCTTAAAAACAGCTTCATTGTGAAGTAAGTCCCTGCCTTACAAATAAGTTCTGTTCTGAGAGAATTGTTCCTAAGTCAGATTTATTCATAAGCTGACAAAAAGTGAGTCTTACACAGCACACCTGTGAAAGTTTGCAACTTGAATGTAAGTTAGGTACCGCCTACAGTGGTTTTACTGAGATACTCACATACCATAAGTTTTATCTCTAGAATCTGTGCCTTCATTGGTTTTTAGTATTTTCACAGCATTGTACGTCTATCAACAGTATCTGATTGTAGAACGTTTTTCTAGAAGTCTGTAGTCATTAATAGACACTCTTTGCTCCCCCTCTTGGAGTCTGGTAGTCATGTATCCACTTTATATTTGGCTATTTTGGGCATTTCATGTACATGGAATCATATAACATCTGGCTGTCTGGCTTCCATCACTTAGCATAATGTTTCTGAGGGTCAGCTGTATTGTATGCATTAGGATTTTATTTTAAAGATAGAAGTGCAACCATTTTTAACTTGTCTTTGATATTTTAAGGTTATCTGTATTCTTCTAAAAACAAAAAATGGGCTCCTGCTTTGTGTTGTTTAGTTATTTTACAGAACCAGCCCTGGAGCCAGGCTAGGCTGTAAGGTGCACCCAGAGTCAGTCACCTGTGAACACAAGTTAGCTGTAAGCAAATTCCATGAAGAGCCCAGTTAACCATGATACTGCACTCTGCTGCTAGTTTATGTGAGGGTATCTGGATGATTAGAGTTAATGCTGAGAAAATAAAATGGAATTAAAATAACAACACTATCAAATGTCATTTCTGAAATTCTCCCTACAAAGCTGTCGTAATTGCCTCATGTTCCATGATAGACCCAGCAATCAAGACCCTCTGACAATCGGGTGAAACTCAACTGGGGGTCTTAGGGGAGAATGGGCTTTGCTGGGACCTTTGGCCTTAGCCGCCTCCAGTCCTCAGAGGGTTTAAATGTGTGGCTGGTGTATCAGCAGGTCCCAGGTGTGTGCACCTTGATACGTGTAGGGACATGTACTTAATTGGGTGAGGCATTTGAATGGAAAATGTGAGTTCAGCTCATGAGGGTTTCTGTTGGAACCCTTGACAGTGTTGCTCACAGGTACTCTATCTCCTCACCCTGGAGGCTCTAGTGATAGGAGTCCGTGTTTCCTGCTCTCAGAGGGGTCGTGTTGTCTCTAGAGACTTCTGTTCTCCTTGTAGCCTCTTGGCTTTTCATTTCTGTTTTCAGTTCTAGACAGGCATTTGGCCTCTCCTTGTGAACTGGCAGATGAGGCTTGTTGGTCTCGGCTTGAGTTTTGCTGTTCTTCGGTCCACAGGCCTTTTAGTTTGATAACATCTTTTTAAATCCTGGAAACATTTCTGCTATTTTAAATTTTATTTTGGCCAATTCTTTAATTACAGAGAAGTAAAAATTAGTTGAGCAAATCCCATTACTGAATCAGTGGTACTAGTCTATCATATTTGTTTTCCTTTTTTATCATTATTACTGTGGCGGTACAGGGCGTAGACACTAGGGCCTCGTGGGTCTAAGGCTGTCACTGCCATTTAGGTACACCACTCAGCCTTCTTAAATTCTGAGTGTCTCTTTAAGTTACTCAGGTTGCTGTAAAATTTGCGATCATCCTGCATCAGGCCCCTGAGAAGCTGCCCTCACAGTGTGCACCACTGTACCCAGCTGTTTTCCTTTTTTGTGTAGTCCTCAGTTGCTTTCTCTTCTCACCCTTTATCAAAGCAACCGATCATGAACTCATTGAGAATGTGTAATCCATTTTCATTTTTGTACATAAATTACTTACTCATAGACACAGCCTGTTTTTTTCTTTTAACGTGTACCCTCTACATGTAGCTTTTAAAAAGCCTTCTTCATGAAACTTTGAGGTCAGTCCACATGTTGGTAGTTGGAGTCGGCTTCCACTCCTGGTAGTACCCACTGAAGACAGGCTCTTTATGTCCCTCTTTTGTTTTCTAGATGGGCTTTTAAGTCCCCTGACCCATTTTTGTTCAAGTCCAAACTTTATGGCATCCTTGAGGTTTCACATTGTGCACATATGTGAGTAGGCATTTTCTCAGTATTACTAGTGCTGCTGCATGGCTCTGCAAATGGGCACAGCTTTGCTCAGTCTCTCTCCCCACTGGGAGCGTACCCATTTCCCAGCATCCTTTGAGGCACTTGACACTCTCAGGACTTAGTATTTGCTTACCTTGAGTCCAGAAGAGTGTACTAAAATATATTCACATGAACAGCCATGATTATTAGTAAAGTGAATATCTTACGATATCTTTATTGGTCCACTGTATCTCCTTTCTCTCTTACTCGCTTATCCCTAGGTTTCTAGACTGGCTTGCTAGTATGTGGATATTTCACATGCATTCTGGATCCTAATTCTTTGCCATATGCCAAGTATCTTCTCCCATTCTATAGCTTGTCTTAACTTGTGGTATTTTTTGTTAAATACATGTTTTGTCAAACACATATCAATATGTTTTATCAAATATATGTCAAATATATGATTATGACTAATGTTTTTGTATCATGTTTTGACACAAAATTGCTGTATGTAAAAATAAACCTCTTCCTTGGTATTCTTTTTCTGCAGTCTTCCATTGGGCTGCAGGCCTGAGTAAACAGACCTTCCCTCTTTATTCCATAGCCTTTTCTTGGGGAGAGGGTAGAAGCTTTGGCAATCATAGTCCCACCTCCACACAGCTCTTCCTGAGGTCTCGTTATTTGTATTTTTTTTTTTTTTCTTTTTTCTTTTCAGTACTGGGGATTGGAAAAGGGCATAATGCATGCTAAGGCAAACACTTCAGTGCTGAGCTACATCCTTCAGCCTTTATTACGTTTTTTGAGACAGGGTCTCATTTAAGTTGTCCAAACTGTCCTTGAACTTGTCATCCTTCTGCTTCAGTTTCCCAAGTAGCTGGGATTACAGGCATGCAACACCATGCCTAACCTTCTCTTTCATGTTCTGTAGGTCATTTTCTGTTCTCTCAGTCTTTCACGTGGCGTTCTGCCCATTTTACACTGCAGTCTCAGGGCTGAGAGCCTTAGAGTAGGACTCAGAGCACTGGAAGTTAGATGCAGCTGCTGCCTGGGTTCCCCATTCTCATAGCCATTCAGTCCGTCACTGCGTGCATGGCAAGTGTGCCTTGTGCCTACTGTCCTCTGGTCTGTTGGTGTACTTAACAGTTCTGCCCTGCTGCTTTTGGACCAGTGCTTGCCTCACACTCCCCCATGGATCCTCTGTGGCTGGGCGGACCCGGAATGCAAACCCCAGGCCACAGACACCCCACCCATGCTGGATTGGAGGGGCCTCAGATAACGCAGGAACCTGAGCCTCTCCCACACTGCTGAGTGTGGAAAGCTGCTGAGGCTTTTACCCAGGTCTCAGGGCAGTGCTGTGAGCAGTGCTGCCAGTGTGGTGCATGGGCATTGGCAGAGCTGTGCTGCATTTGTGCCTTTCTCTCATCTGCTGCCACCCTGGCTCTGACCCCTGTCTGCCCCTGCAAGAGGGCTCTGTGTTGCCATACCCCTTGCTGGCTTGTGGGGCTGAGAGCCCCGAGTCTGCTGGTGGCTCAGCAATTCTGGCAGGGGTATATGCAATTCCTGGCACTGCTGGCCTGTTCTCATCAATGGTTAGGATATCTCTTTTCAGTTTACTTTTGTTTGTTAAATTTTTATTTAAGGGTTTTTTGGACCCCAGAGTAGAGCGTAACCCATTTTCATTTCCCATTGCTGCTGTAACAGACCACCACAGACTTCATGGCCTCAGACAACATTTTATTCTCTTGCTCTGGAACTCAGAAGTCCTCAGGTGAGTCTGCAGAGCAGTGTCCCAGCTGGAGGACCAGGCGAGACTGCTGTGTTGCTTTCACTGCTTCCTGCTTGGACTTGCCTCCTCCATCTTGAAAGCACATGGCTCAGGCTTTTGCTTTTATCCTTGTGTCCCTCCGTGTGTGATCTCATCAAGTCTCCTGTGTACTCAAGGTAATCTTCCCACATTGACAACCATCCCCTCTATAAAGTCCTTGTCATTGTTCTGGCCGCAGTCATAGATTGGGGGTTGGCCTGAATGTGGTCTCTCCATACTCAGTTTTTCACAAGTGTCACTGCCCACAGCTTCAGCAGCTGCCAGCTTTCGGCCCATTGCCTTTCATTTGATCCAGCACAGCCTTCTCGTTATACTGGAGTAACGCAGAGGAGATGTCAGGATTGTACCATTTCCCTTGTAAGCACTTCTTGTGTGTGCTTCGTGTATCTGAGAGATAGTGAGACGTTTCATCCTGCCAACTTGATTGGATTCCAGGAGATGCCTGGCATGGCAGTGGTAAACATACAGCCCATGTGCTACAGCTGGCTGTGGTCATTTGAAGCTCTCAAATGTTTGCCATCATTGGCCTAGGACATTAACAAAGCATATTTCTGGCATGTGAAGGTATTTCATTTCCAGAGAAGACTGCCCCAGAGGAAAGTGGACTGGGGATCTTTCATTCATGTGGGCAGCATCATCTAGGCATGGGTGTCGTTTACCTGCAGAAATAGAAGGGAGGCTGCAGCAGAGGCTCCTCCCTTGCTCTCTGCTCCCCAATTCAAGAGGTATGCAGCTTTCCTCCATCACACTCTCCTGCCATGAGGCTTCTACCTCACCAAAGGCCTGAAGCAGAAGAGCCCACCAACCAGGAAATCTCTGAGCTGTGAGCAAAATACCCCTGACTCACTCAGATATGTGTTTTTCAGGGGACAACCACAGCTTTGCCAGAACCTGCACAGTTGACAGTAATGTTTCCCATTCCACATGCAGTTTCTCTCACTTGTCTCCAGAGTGTCTTCTTACAGTTGGTTTGTTCGGACCAGGATGGTCTCATAGATCCTCAGTGAGCCCTGCTGTGTTCTCTCCTTTTCCCAATCCCTGCCCGGGGCTCCCAACCTCACTCCATTAGGCTGAGGGGGAACTCTGTGTTCTAGGAACCAGTGACCTTCTGGGACGTGGCTGTGGACTTCACCCAGGAGGAATGGGGGCAGCTGGACCCTACACAGAGGACATTGTACCGCGATGTGATGTTGGAGACCTTCGGGCACCTGCTGTCTGTGGGTGAGGTGGCTCTGCCTGATACACACACTGGTCCTGCTGAGGGAGCCTCTGCGACATTGTGGGAGGGGTGGGCCTGAGTTCTGAGGCTGAGGAATGTGGCTGCTAGTGCTTATAGTGCCTGCATTGCCTACCCATGTGAGAACCCACCAGGAAGGGAAACCACCTTAAGCTGCTCCAGTGCTGCAATGACAAATCCACATTTCTTCCCCATGCAGGGCACCAGATTGCCAAGCCTGAGGTCATCTCCCTGTTGGAGCAAGGAGAGGAGCCATGGTCGGTGGAGCCTGTGCACTCTCAGAGCTCTTGTCCAGGTGAGGCAGGCCAGGAGCAAGGAGCTTCCCCAGAGTGCTGCTTCAGGGGCGTGAGCTGAGGCAGAGTGAGTACCTCCTCAGCTGCATCCCAAACTCCCAGTGCAGAGCTGCTGCTTCTCTGCTGGGTCGAAGAAGGACACCCGAGCTCATGGGGCTAGCTTTGCCAGCTTCTACGCTCTCCGTTCTCCATAGCACCCATGGTGCTTGCTGAGGTGACTTCCCGTTCCTTTACCTGCTTATAAGCTTTTTCTTGTTTCTTTTCTTGCTAAATGGTAATCTGTGGCCACAAACATTTCTTGAAGACAGTAAACAAAACTTTGTATTCATATAGTTCAGAAACCTAAAAGGTATGTAAGATGTTTAAGCTGAAAAAATCTCATTTGTATTCCCTATCCAGAGTACTTGTAACCTAATACAGCACTGCACAGATTGGTGGTTGATCGGTTATTTATTTTGGTGGTACTGAGGATTGAACCCAGGGCCTTCACAGTGTACCAGATCCCCAGCTCTTATTTATTTATTTATTTTTTTATTTTATTTTATTTTATTTTATTTTGAGATAGGGTCTGACTAAGTCCATGGTTTACTTGAATTTTTCCTGCCTCAGCATCCCAGGGTATTGATATTCCAGGCATGTACCACTATCAGCTGCTGGTTTTTTTTTTTCCTTGTACTGTACATTTTTTAGTTAGTCTAGTACTTATCCTGGAAATTACAGTTAAAATTCAATTTTATGTGTTTTTTAGAGTTTTCTTTTTGTAGACAGGGTCTTAGTATGTAGTTCGGGCTGGCTTCATATTTGGTAGATAGACCTGGCTAGTCTCAAGCTCATGTTCAGCCTGCCTCGTCCCCCCAAGTGCTGACATTACTGGTGTGCACTACTATGCCTGGCTGACATCTCAATTTATAACAATCTCAATGGACTAATACCAGTTTAATTTTGACAGTTTTCTAGGACTTTGCTTCTGTATAGCTACCCTCCTTTTATGTTGGTATTGTTGTAAATTGCATCTTAATACAGCGACCAACACAGATTAATGATTATTACTTTATGTTATTATCTTTAAATCAGGCCAAAAGATTTACAAACAGAAGTTTGTGTTGTATTTATGTTGTCTCATTATCTTAGTGATACCAATTGGAGCTCTTATTTTGAGTGACCGTTGGTATTTCTTGCAGTCTGAGGACACCCTTTAGTGTTTAGAGTCAGACATGTCAGTGGCCAACTCTGAGATCTTGTTGCTCTTAGAGCCTCTTGATTCATTCTTCCTTTCTGAAGGATATTACTGGACATAAAATTCTTAACAGTTTTTTCTTTCTGATCTCACAGGTTTCTGATGAGGAATGAGTGGGTATCCTTGTGTGTGAGGAGTTACTTGTGCCTTGCTGCTTTCAGTACTTTGACTTTTGACAGTGAAATTATGTGCCTGTGGCCCCATGGGTTACAATTTTACAAGGCCCTATGGACATCGTGTTACTCAGGTTTTCTTTTGTGACTTGTGCTGCTGTTGAGGGTGAGGACCATGAAGAGCATCAAGAAGGTAAAGAAATAAAAGATGAGACACAGAAAGCTGGGATCAGGTGGGGTCCTCTCTCCAGATAGGAGGAAGGGAACTGCCCCTTTTACTATAGGGGTGTTTATTTATATATTTAGCAACTTAATGTCACACGACACCCTGTTGCCTAGTAATCAACATGTATGGCAACCTGAGGGCCTGATGTTTTGGAGAATGAAATTACTTCTATGACTTCCCCACTGGCAGTTTTTGTTCTCGTACCCAGCTGGCTGGCTCCCACAGGTGGGGTTAATTTTTAGCTTTAACAGCTCCCTATAGTTTTCTTGTCCTCTTTCTGGTGAGTGTGCTCTGCCTTTGCTTTGGGAGCAGTGACTCTAAAGTGTTGCTTGTGATGTTTCACAGAATTCTCCTCACTGCAGGCCTTAGCACCGTGAGGGTTTCCTACCACGTAAACCAAGAGACCTTCCCAAGGAGCTACCCCCGGGAGTCCCATACGAGTCTAGGGATGACTGTTACTTGGAACTGAGTCCTTGAAGAAACCTCAGCACTGTTCTTGTCACTGCACTGCTGGCAATATGGGCTATTTTATTTTTTTCAAGGTTACCAATTAGCTGAGGAGGTAGCTGTAGGTCTGTGATACATTATTAACCCATAGAACTCACTGTTCTTATTGAAATCCTGTTGTTTTTGTTTAACATTCCCAAGTTGAAAGATTTACAGAATTCCTGAAAATTGATTCTGATAATTCTGGCAGTTTTTAAATTGTTTTTGTGGGAGAGATGAAATTTTTCAGTTTCTCTGCCCTTTTTAGTGACATCCAACCACAGGTAACCACAGTAGCAATTTCTGTTACGTGCTTACAGTGTTTCTGTAGGTAGCTACAGGAACACATGAATTTGTAGCTACTTTTCACTTTTCTCAAGGTGGCATACTGTATGCTATGTATCTTGTTTTTTTATTCTACTCTACTGGGAGTTTAACCCGGGGCTTGCTGCATGCTAAGCAAGTCCATTATCACTATAACATCTATTTTCTATTTCTCTTTTATTTTGAGACGAGGTTTGTCTACATTCTTCATGGTGGCTTTCAGCTTATGACCCTGCTTCAGCCTTCCAAGTAAATGGCGTAACAAGCCCATGCTACCATGCCCTGCTTCCTGTGACTTGACATTGTACCACACCTCTTCTTGAGTCCTGTAGCAGGACATCTCCCCATCTATTCTAACAAATGACTTTAGGGGAGTGTCCTTCCTATTGTCCCTTGTCTAGATCTGCAGCTTACTCCAAGAGCTCCTGAATTCAGTAGCATCAGTCTTCCCACCCCTTTGCTGACTAAGCCTTGTGGTTTCTTTTTTCTGCACTTCCATGAAGCTTTTCCATTGTTCTGATCTCAGTAAACAGAACAGGAAACTCATCCCTTACTCATGGATACTTCGTCACCCTGAGCTGTGACCCTGGTAGTAGCTCTGCCAGTCCCTCCAATGCTGATGAAGTAATTTTGTGGACTGACTTCTTAGTTAAGAAGTGATCTCTCTTTGAACTCCTAAATTTTCTTTCTCTGGAACACTGGCTATAGTGTTCAGGTTCCACCAGCATTGTCCTTAGGCCCTTCTCTTGTAAGATTGCATCTCAGTGTGATGAGGAAATTCTCATTTGTTGGCTCCTTGGGTGTTATTTGTAGATCTGTATCCATAAAATCTCCCATTTGGGACCCCTATAGGCAAACCTACAGTGACTCTAATTGCTTTTAAAATAAAGTCAGATTTTAAGACTTCGCTTTTTTTGTTTTCTCATTTTCTAACCAACTCCTCTTCACTCAGCCAGTGTCCGTCATGGTCCTATTGTCACATCCTGCAATTAGAGCTGTTTCTTCTGTGTGACCCCTTGATTACTTCTCTCCATGTTGATCTCTTTTCCCAGACTCTAACTCTTCTGGCATCCACACCTCGCAGTCTCTTGATGACTATTGTGTGTGTGTTGTTTGCTGCTCCTTGGCATGTCCTCTCATCACATAGATTCTGATTTCCTGGAGGAAATCAGATGCTTTCTTGTTTTATCTCTGGTGCTAGACACTCACTATGATTCAGGTACTGAGTATGATATTGTGTGATTATGGTTCACTCACCCTTTCTTTTCGGCAGTCAGTCAGCTGCCATCTTAACTGCCTCCTGAAGCTACATAAGATTATTTACTAATTTCTTGGAGCTAAGTTCGAAATTCATAAGTGCTAGTTTTTGAGCAGAGTAGAGCCTCTGTTACATGGGCTCCAATGGTGAAAAGAAGAAATGGTACACAGTGAAGAGAGAAAGGAGAGAGAGAACAAAGGGTATCTATTTGGTATCTGGAGCTTTAGACCTTTGGAGGCTGAACAATGACTCTTGTTCCCCTAGATGTCCACATCCTAATCTCCCATTTGTGAATAATGACTGAAGGGAGGCTGAACAATGACTCTTGTTCCCCTAGATGTCCACATCCTAATCTCCCATTTGTGAATACGGCACCTTACATGGCAGGTAGAGGTTTTCAGATGTAAATAAATTAAAGATCCTGAGGTGAAAGGAAGGTACTGGCTTATTTGGGTGGATTCTACCACATGTCCTTGTAAGAGTGAAGCAGGAAGAAGAGAGGCAGTGGTGGTGTGATGGAGTCTGGTATGCCCTGAGGAGGGCGGAAAGAGCTGTCAGCTGGAGAGTGTAAGAAATACAAGGGGACAGGTTTCCCTTGAAAAGCTGACAGCTTCCTTATAGCTCAGCAAAAGCGCTTTGAGATTTTTGACTTCCAGAACTATAAGAAAGTAATTTTTTCTTATTGTAAGCTGTTAAATTAATGTGTCATAATTTGTCACAATAGTATAGGAAACTAATATGCTCTTTCTATTGTTGGAGATAGGTACTTTAACAATAGTTTTATCACTATCTCTGTCTTTCTGATTTGCTGTTTCTCTGTCTTTCTCTTTCTCTCTCTCTCTCTCACACACACACACACACACACTTTCAGGTCTCATCAATCATGATAAAAATCCACTTAGGATATTGTTAAAGCTTGCATTGTAGTATCTGTGTTTGGGTGATAACATCTATGACTTTTTTTGTAGTACTAGAGATTGAAACCAGGGCTTTCATACTGAGCTATGTCCTCTGCTTTTTTTGATTTTTTTTTAAATTTTGGGGTGTGATCTCAATAAGTTGCCCAAGGTACACTTGAACTTGTGATCTTTCTGCTTTAGTCTTCTAATGTGGTGACTTTGCAGGTGTGTGCTACCATGTGTAGCTTCTAGTCCATCTGTTGCATAATTGCTATAAAGTGATTCTGAGGTGGTGTGACACATAGTGGTAGTTCCAGGAGGCTGAGACAAGATGATTGCAAATCCAAGCATAGCCTAGGCAACTTATTTATTCTTTTTTTTTTTTTTTTTTTTTTTTTTCTTGAGACAGAGTCTTGTTACGTAGTCCAGACTGGCTTTGAACTCACTGTTTTGCCCAAGCTAGCTTCAAAAATCTTCCTTCCTCAGCCTCCTGAGTGCTGGGATTATAGGTGTGCACCACCACAACTGGCAAGACTGCTTTTAAATTAAAAAAAAAAAAAAAAAAAAAACATTCTGTAGAATTGTAACAGAGGAAATATAGCCTCAGGAGTATCCTTAAACCGTAGTGATAATTGCCCTTTGAGCTGGCAGATTTTGTGTCCTTGACTGGACTGTATGGAATAAGGAGTAATGAAACAGCATTATATTGTAGATGACATCCTGACTTGAAGCTTGGTTGGTGATGCTTTCCTCTCAACCCTACCCTTTCATTTTTCAAGCAGGTATCAGGATGAAAAGAAGGAAGTCATAACACAGAATTATTCACTGTTAAATGATTTAAGCATTACTCACTAAAGCCCTCCTTCTGTTAACAGTTATTTCTTTTTAGTAGCACTCACTATATCCTTTTGCAGGGATCCTCACAGCCACTCTGGGTTCAGTGACTTATTGGGGAGAGTTGGTCACCAATCAGTTGAACTCAGGACTATAGATCATTATAGTGAAAGTATGTTGCACAGCATAGGTGAAAGGAAGGTACACAAGGTTGATCCTGAGGAAACTTGGCTCTGATTTCTGTCCCTGTTTTCCAGTGGATTTGCCCAGGACATATGAAGTTCCCCCAGCAAGAACTGGGGACATCATGTCTGAAGTTCTCTGCTTGAGACCAGGGTGTTCATGGGGCTTGTCATGTAGACACACAGTGCTTGTATGACTGACTTGGATCATGGAATCCCCTAAAGGAAAACATATGTTCACTGCAAATGACAGTGTTTGCGTAAACTAGAGAAATTGGTGCTGTATACTTTAAAGCCTTCAGCAGAAAAAGCTCTTTTACTACTTAGAATATTTTAAGGTTTCAATTCCTAGGCACTCCCTGTTGGTGATTTCTAGGGAAAAAAAAAAAAAAAAAAATTCCTAGGCATTAGCAGAGGGCCAGTTCTGAAATAGGCCAGATTGGTAATGTGTAAGGCTGGAGCAGCTCTTTCCTCCCCAACATCATTTCCATGGGAAAGTACTCTTCAGTGATTTTATTTGTACTCAGTATACACTTTGTACTCAGGTAATTTGTGGTTCACTGTTTACATTCTCTATTAAAATATTCTCTGGCTCCCAAGTATGTGCTTGAATAAAATTCATTCTTGCCTTTTAAATAATATGGTAAGTAAATTCCATCTTTGCTTCTCTTTGTTGAGGTCTTTGTGCACATACAGCTGTTTTCTGTCTTGTTTCAGAATGGATGAGAAATCTTGAAAACAAAGCACTGATCTCAGCACAGAGTATTTTTGAAGAACAACAACCCCATGGCATGAAGTTGGGAAGATTCCTATTGGATGATTCTTGGTTTTCCAGATTAGGAGTTTTGGGATATAAAGACCAATTAGAAATGTATCACATGAACCAGAGTACAGCTATGAGGCAAATGTTTTTCATGCAAAAACAAGTACTATCTCAAAGAGGTTCTGAATACTGTGAACTTGGGGCTAAATATAGTGAAAGCTTAAACTTTATTCCATCTCAGAAAGTTTCCCAGTTAGAACATTTTTATAAGCCTGACACACAGGGTGAAAGTTGGAGATTTAACTCGGCCATAATGTATGCAGATAAGATTAACTATGACAGTAAAAATTGTGACAAAGCATTTAACCAGTCCATTCAGCCTGTTCTTCCATTAAGAATGCAGACTGGAGATGATCTTTTCAAATGTACTGAGGGTATAAAGTCCTTCAATAATGTCATACATTTTGGTGATCAGAGAGGAATACACACAGGAGAAAAACTGTATGAATACAAGGAATGCCATCAAATTTTTAACCAGGGCCCATCATTTAATGAAGATTCAAGACTTCATATTGGAGAAAATCAGTATGATTATAAAGAATATGAAAATATTTTTTACTTTTCATCCTTTATGGAACATCAAAAAATTGGTACTGTAGAGAAAGCATATAAATACAACGAATGGGAGAAAGTCTTTGGATATGACTCTTTCCTTACTCAACACACAAGTACATACACTGCAGAGCAACCCTATGAGTATGACGAATGTGGTACATCTTTCATCTGGAGCTCTTATCTCATTCAACCTAAGAAAAATGCTGGAGAGAAACCCTACCAATGTGATAAATGTGGAAAAGTTTTTAGGAATCGTTCAGCTCTTACCAAACATGAGCGGACTCACACTGGAATAAAACCCTATGAATGTAACAAATGTGGGAAAGCTTTCAGTTGGAATTCTCATCTGATTGTACACAAGAGAATTCATACAGGAGAAAAGCCTTATGTGTGTAATGAGTGTGGGAAGTCCTTTAACTGGAACTCCCATCTCATTGGACACCAGAGAACTCATACTGGAGAGAAACCATTTGAATGTAGGGAATGTGGGAAGTCGTTCAGCTGGAGCTCCCATCTCATTGCTCACATGAGAATGCACACTGGTGAGAAACCCTTTAAATGTGACGAATGTGAAAAGGCTTTTCGGGATTACTCAGCTCTTAGTAAACATGAAAGGACTCATTCTGGAGCAAAACCCTACAAGTGTACAGAATGTGGAAAATCATTCAGCTGGAGCTCCCATCTTATTGCTCACCAGAGGACCCACACAGGAGAGAAACCTTACAACTGTCAGGAATGTGGCAAAGCATTCAGGGAACGCTCAGCCCTTACTAAACATGAAATTATTCATTCTGGAATTAAACCCTATGAATGTAATAAATGTGGAAAGTCTTGTAGCCAGATGGCTCACCTTGTTAGACATCAAAGGACTCATACTGGAGAGAAACCCTATGAATGCAATAAATGTGGAAAATCCTTCAGTCAGAGCTGTCACCTAGTTGCTCATCGGAGAATCCACACTGGTGAGAAACCCTATAAATGTAATCAATGTGAAAGATCCTTTAACTGTAGTTCTCACCTAATTGCACATCGGAGAACTCATACTGGAGAGAAACCATATAGGTGTAATGAATGTGGGAAAGCATTTAATGAAAGTTCTTCCCTTATTGTGCACTTGAGAAACCATACTGGAGAAAAACCTTACAAATGTAGTCATTGCGAGAAGGCTTTCTGTAAGAACTCATCCCTTATTATTCATCAAAGAATGCACAGTGGACAGAAGCGCTTCATATGCAGTGACTGTGGAAGAGCCTTCAGTGGTCACTCGGCCCTCCTTCAGCACCAGAGGAGTCACAGTGAGGGGAAACTGTCCTTGGACTGATAAGAGAATTTTTTATTGTACGTTGGTAACACTGATGATACTGTTTGAATATAAGCAAGAGGGAAAAGTTTTAAAAAGTTCACTAAGACTTTCCTATGATTCAGTACAAAACTGAGGAATGAAGTTAGTAAGTAAAAGCTTACAGCAGTTTTATAGCCCTCATTCAACATTAGATAATTAGAGAACAAAAGTGGTTTTCAGGAATGCCCATTTAAGGAAACATGGTTTGGGAGTGAGGTAGCTTTCAGTACATGCTCTTTCAGATTTTATAGATAGATTAGTGTGTATCACTAAGGGAAAGCTATCTACCAAGAATGGTGTTTGACTGGAAATAGTTTTTCATCAGGGCAGAGTACTGGATGGAGACATTCACATTTTGTGCATAGTTTTAGAAATGCAGATAGGTTTTGCTATTACAAAAGGAGGGTCTAGATGTTAGCATAAACACTAAATTTGAGTTTAAGAAAGAAAATAGTATAGTATTGAATGGGCTATATACTTTTGATAAGATTAACCTTAGGGAACAATTAGTCAATGAGATTACTAATTGTGGAAAGGTTGTCTGTAGAAGTCTGAGGTGGTGTTGGCAGAGGTGACACTAAATCACCCAAAGTGTCATTGTCTTTTGTGTTTTCATTACTGCATTGTTGGACAGTTAGTCTAACTTATCTTAGGTGATCACTATAAGTTATACATTAATTGTGGACACTGCATATATAACATGAAGGAATAAAATGGACACAGAATTGTGTGCCGGTATCTACTATAGCAGATCTAAAAAGTGTGTAGGGGTAAGAATCTGATAGAATCATGGAGAAATTAATCCAGTTAACTTAAGGATTTATTTCATTGTATAAGCCTACCACTTACTATGTTTTTCAAATATTAGTTTATTCAATCCCTTTAACTATGAGGTAGATACTGTGATCATCACAGGTTTATGAGTGGGAAGACTGAAGTGGCAAAAGTACTGAAGTAATTGCCATGGGACCACTTCTAATCAGCAGTAGAGTTGAGACTGGTTCCATAGGCCATGTTTTTAACCACTGTGTCATCCTGACTCCAGTGATACGTTTTCCAAATGCTTTCCCTTTTCTTGTTCATTGTTTGTAGAGATTTGATAATAAAATTGAAGTAAGTCTTAATAAGTGAGAATCTGTTACCTGGCTTCTGTATCCTGAAGGGTTTTGGGTTACAAGAGAGCTAAGATCCCCTTGTCATGGGAAGAAGTGTGGACTGAACACAGACCTGTCCTGGGACTTGTGTTTCCCAGACTCTCACTACTCATAGCCCAGAAGACTTGCTGAGACTTGCGCTAGCCAGGAACTTTTAAGATGGGTTCAGAGTATCCCTTGTAAAATAGAGCACCAGGGTGTCTGCTCTTTCACACAGTCAGATACCATTGTACCACTGAAGTATTTGTCAAAGTTTCCCTTAAAGACAAGTTCATCTTCATCTCCATTTGGCAAAGTTTTTTGAAGGGAGGACTCAGAAGGGAGGCCTCACCAGTCCATCTGAAAGAGTGGGAAGTCTTTCAGTTCACAGGGAAAGAAGCAGGAGGAATCCCCTTAAGGACTGCAGCCCAATTTGCAAGGGTGCTGGGTAGAAATTCAGGGTCCATTAAGTTACCTGATTCTCTGGGTCCATGACTCCCCAGTGATAAGAATGGTGACCCTGACTTAAAGAGATTTCACTGCCCAGCTGAGTGCATGACATTTGATTCCCTAACTCCCAGGGCGTGATGTGTGAGTGTAAGTCAACTAATACATGTTTCAGGAATGTAATTGAGTTTTTTGTGATTTTTGCACACCCTTGGGGAGAATAGAGTCAGTGGTATTATCCTTAGAAGAAAACGACATAATGTATTCAGAAATGTACTGCCCAAGAAGTATGGCTACCGTATTCCAGTACCTAGAGTCCTTACTCTTAAGAACTCTGTAAGGATGTCACAGTATTCCGTAAGCATCCTAGCAGCTTACAACCTTATTCCCAAGCTTACTATCTCTTTAAAAAGTCCCTTAAGGGCCTCCTGGGCTCAGCCCACATTGGGAGTCAGCAGAAAGCCCCAGGCTGTTGTTTGTCCCTGTGCAGTTTGTCTGCTTTTGCTCCCAGTGTCAAGATGCTTGACAGTGTGCTTTGGTGCCCATGATTCCCCAGTCCTCTCAGTCCCCCACGCTAACACACACTTGTTCCTCAGGTTGTTGCCCTTTGGACCCCTCTTCCAGTTGCCCCAGCTCTAACTCCTGCTGGTGCATCCCCAGTTAGGGGCCAGATCCCTTCTGGTTCCCCTGGCTGCCGGCTCCTTCCTCTGGTGTCTTCTTTCTCACTTATCTGCTCTGTCCATTATCACTCCGCTCTAATTTAGGACACTTCTAAGCACCTCACAGCGCTTCCTCAGCTGTCTTCCCCTGCTGATGGCTGCTCTGCAAGCAAGATGATTTTGGCTCTTGCCTTGCTGCTCCTGAAACCACCCCAGCTGTCACTCTGATGGGAAGACAGAGGTGTTCTGCAGAAGTGCCTCACACCCCACCCCTCTTCCTCCCTCCTCTCTGCTGGGTGGTGTTTATCCTGCTTTACATCGTGGGAAATTTCTTGCATTGCTAATATTTTTCTTTTTCGTTTGGAAATTTCACTTTTTAGGGTTCCTGTTGCTCAGACTTTAGCACGCCCATTTCTGTGTATGTCTCTTCACTTTCTGATTTCTTTTCCTGTCTTTGCATCATGTAGACATTCCCTGAATCTGCTCTTTTAGTTTTCTGAACACCTCAGCTTAATTGATTTGGTACTTATTTCCTCCATTGTGTTTTTGTTTCAGTAATTGTTTTACAAGTGTCATACTCTTGGTTGTTTCTTTTAATGTTAGTGATATCACTTCCTATTGCTAATGCATGCCTTTGAAGTGTGTTCAAGACTTTTATGGTTTTACTCCATCTCTTCTAATGCTGCTTCCATTGGATGTTTGCAAATAGTTATGCCTGTTATTCTGGCCATCAGCTCCAGGGCCCTCAACGCTGTGCAGAGGACAAGAAGCAGCCCCACTGAGCTCAAATGTGAGATGTATCCTAGGGTGAGGGTCCAGTCATCAGGCAAACTGACAGGTTTTTGTTTTCTTTTTTTCTTAGTTCTCGGGGTTGAATCCAGGGCCTGTGACTTGAGTTATACCACCACTGCGTTTTCATTTTCCATTTTGAGATACCACCCTAAGTTGCTCCATTGCCTAAGCTGGGCTTGAACTTGTGTTTCTCACCTGGTTCAGGCTGCACTCACAGTGGAAGTGGGAGGGAGGTTGGCCTGCCTGCACCTGGCCATGAGGGGAGCTGCGTGTCAGGGCCATTGTGAGGCCTCCTGCCTGTGCCCCATCCTATCAGGCACCCCCTCCCCACTGGGAAGTGGCACAGAGGCCACGCAGCATCACCTTTTCCATATGCCACCAAAAGCAGACAAGCAGCAACACCATGTGACCAGGACTCTGAGAATGAAATCAGATGACACACTGAGGAGCCTGAGGCCAGTGAGAGTGGAGATAAGTAAGGTGCATGAGGAAGGCAGGTGTATGCAGAAGGGTGCCCAGCTAGCAAGGACCAGGCCAGCAAGTTGGCCACATGGATGCCGTCAGCCCTGAGCGCTGGGCATGAGGTTGGCCTCAGCCACTGATTAAGAAGATAAAGCACCAATTGTGTTGGTGCAGACCTATGAACCTAGCACGCTGGAAGGCTGAGGCAGTAGAACCAAAAGTTGAACCGGTATGGGCAATTTAGTGATTTAGTGAGACCTTGTCTCCAAAAGGATGGAGGTGGGAGAGGAGGCAGAGACTGGTGTCTGGGACCTGGAGCAGTGTGTGAAAGAGATGCAGTGTGTGAAAGCAGTGTGTGAAAGAGTGGCGAGACAGCAGTGTGTGAAAGAGTGGCAAGACAGAATGCTGCGAAGTGGGCCTACAAACAGGCCAGCCTTGTGCACCAGGGCTGTGTGTGGAGACCCTTCTTCAAAGGAGCGTTTGAAGCTGGCTGTGGTGGCACATGCCAGTAATCCCTGCACTGTGGGAGGCTGAGGCAGGAGGACCACCAGGAGTTCAAGAGCAGCCTGTGCTAAACAAGTAGTTCAAGATGAAGCTGAACTTTGTAGGCAGACCCTGTCTCAAAAAAAAAAAAAGCAAAAAACAAAAAATACGAAAGACAACAGAAAGCAACGTTGTAACATGGCTAGAATGACTTGCAGTAAAAAGACAGTACTTCACCTACAGCAAGCTGTAGATGAGAGCGCCCTACTGAGATATATAGCACGTGTGGGCTGCTGGGCAATCACCGTGCTAAAACCAAAGCCACACAGACACATTTGCTGCAGAGGCCTGGGCAAGAGACTGGAAGCTGCCTCTGAGAAGACGGGGTGGAGCAGCAGCGTCCCCTGCTGGGGAAATGCATCTCTGTGCTCTGAACCCACCAGAGGCTGCCTTCTGCAATACAGACAACACACCCAATGAGCTATGCTGAGGGATTTTACTGGGGATCTGCAATAAAATAAGCACCATGGGTTCTTCAGGCAGAAAGAGAATTGTTCAAGACAGAAGTGTGAGAATGCAGGAGGCACCAAAGAGCAAAAACATACCTTCATTCTCCTTTCCTTTTTTTTTTTTTTTTTTTTTTTTTTTTGTGGCACTGGACCTTCACACTGAGCTACATCTTCAGCCCTTTTTATTTTTTATTTCTAGACAGGGTCTTGTTAAGGTGCCTAGGACTTGGCTGGAATGTGTGATCCTCCTACCTCAGCCTCCCAAGTAGCTAGGATTAGAGGGATGCACCAGCAAGCCTAGGTGGATGGAGTTTTTGAGTGACTCAAAGCAGCTTGACCCCCTCAGGTTGGAGTCCTGAGCTCTCCTGCTTCTGGGTTTCTAGACCATGGGGAATTGTCGGGGTAGAGGGTGCAGTTTCAGGTGACTTGACCAGTGGGGGATGGATGGAGTCACTGGTACAGGGGCCAATCAGCATGATCATGTGGGTAGGGGTGAGAGACTCCACATGGCCCTGGCTCGTGATATAGCAAAGGGCACAATGATGGGAGGGAGTCCATGGTGGGTACTCCTCAACGGGGGAAGGAGTAGTAGAAGAGAGACTTGTGCTTCAAAGGAAACTCACCCATTGAGAACTGGAGACCTGCCCCATTTTCCAGCCAAAAGCCACCAAACTTAGCTGTGCTTCCCAAACTCCAGATTCTAAAATTCCCTTGGAACCCTACACCTCTATCCCCTGTACTCAGAAATGTGTCTCCCAGCCATGCGGCAGAGATTTCTGTCCTGTGAGCAGGCATATTGTACTTGCTGTGGTTTGACCCCACCCAGGAAATGGAGCTGAGTAGGTTGGAGTGATGGGGTTCTACCTCAGGCAGGGACAGATGTAGGCCTGGCAGTGACCCCATATCTGTGTGTGGTCCAGAGAGATAGCTCCAGGAGTGACCACGAAGGCTTCTGGGAAAAAGGGGAAGTGAGCCCTGTATGTGAGAGGGAAGCCCATGCTTCTGGGGGCAGCCACAGCCAAGTGGTCACTGCAAGTTTTGTGTCCCAGGAATGGCCCACTGCAATGGGCTACCCTTCTTCCAGGACAAGTGAACTCAAGAGAAGTCTCTTTCTTCCTTTACCTCGCTCAGGTAGGGATAGATACAGACCTTCAAATGTTCATTTTCTCTCATGAGTGATCAGCTGAACCATGTCCTTGTGGCTCTGTTTGGAGAAAAGCCCATTGCACAACCGGCATGAGTTCAAGCTTCCACCTCCCCACAGACCTCTGGGAGCAGCAAGCACTGCTCTCCTGTTCTGATGTCCCCATGGGCCCTCACATTCCTGTTGCTCTCTAGCCTTTAACCCCCGCCATGTGAATGGAAATTCATTTTCTCTGAGTTTTGTGAACTTTTGATCAGAGAGTGTCTGTTACACCGGTCCTTCGTTCCTGCGAAGCTTGTTTTGTCTGTGATTTGGTAGAGGTGGCTGTAGCATATGAAATCCATTTCTGCATTGAGATGCTCTGGGCCCTGGGAGCTCCTGAGCAGTTTCCCCAGGTGGGACAATATGGCTTTTGCTCCCAGGGTACTGCGGATAAGGACCAGCTGTGGTCATGCGTAGGACACTGCATGACAACTGGTGTGGAGACCACAGTGGTCTCAATATC